TTTTGTAAAAATAATTATTTCACCAGTTCCAGCCGATCTGACTAGAGTTCTGTGTAGCGTACCCATAGTTCTACGAGAAAGTCTTACATTTTCTCGAAAAATAAATATTTTCCGAGTAATTGGTATTTTTAACTTATAACACTTTTGTAAAAAAAATTATTTCACCAGTGCCAGCCGAACTGAATAGAGTTCTGTGTAGCGTTTCCAAAGTTCTGCAAGAAAGTCTTACATTTTCTCAAAAAATAAATATTTTCCGAGTAATTGGCATTTTTAACTTATAATATATCTTTTTTTAAAAAAATTTATTTTACTAGGTCCTGCCGTTCTGACTAGAGTTCTGTGTAGCGTTCCCAAAGTTCTACAAGATAGTCTTACAACATTTTCTCGAAAAATAAATATTTTCCGAGTAATTGGCATTATTAACTTATAACACTTTTGTAAAAAAATTATTTCACCAGTTCCAGCCGATCTGACTAGATTTCTGTGTAGCGTTCCCGTAGTTCTACAAGAGAGTCTTACAACATTTTCTCGAAGAATAAATATTTTCCAAGTAATAGGCATTTTTAACTTGTACCATCTTTTGTAAAAAAATTTTATTTCACAAGTTCCAGCGGATCTGACTAGAGTTCTGTATAACGTTCACAAAATTGTGGCAGAAAGTCTTATAACATTTTCTCGTGAAATGAATATTTTTCGATTTGTTACGTCCCGCGTTTTATTTTGGGAGTGGGGGGTCCAGAGATCTCCTAACAAGAAGAGGAAGGAGAAGAAGGAAAGGAAATTTGAGATTCAGGGTGTGCGTGTGGGTATGAGAATGAGTGTGTGTCAGTGTATATTGTATGACGAGTTTATTTATGACGTGAGTGCATGAAGTTTGTGAGCCACGAGGGGTGGGAGTTATAGCTCGGGCATACTTCGTTGTATCCTCGGAGCGTCCACCCTTGGGAGGACGATTTTTATACGTCGCCTGAGGGGCTCCACGACGATTACCCGGGGGCGAGCAGCAGGTGCTCTAGGCATGGCGAGCCGCGTAGGACAAGGGGGTGGTGGAGGTGCTGAGACCGCAGCCAGGGGTGCCCGCGCGAGAGGGGTGACAGGCAGTCGGGGTCTCCACACTCGCTGGGTGCAGGCCTCAGGTATGGGTGGAGGGTGCTGGAGAGCCGGAGCCTTCCGGTATGGTGGAGGGGGTGGGAGTGCAGGGGGCCCTTGGCCCTTTGGAGAGGCTAGACGGAGAGGCTGGGGAGGCGCGGATGGCGTGAGCGCCGGAGGGTTCCGTGCAGGTGGGGGGCACGGGAGCACCGGAGGAGGCCCCGGTGCAGGGGGCCTAATAGCGCGGGTCTCGAAGACGCGCGGGTCAAATTGCTGTACTCTATGGTGCGCCCTTACGAGGCGGCGCAACTGACGCTGACGTCCCGAACGCCGGGACCGGCCCATTATCGGGCTTCCTGCGGAAGGCACTCATACTTAGTTTTGAATACGTGCACAAGTGGGAGAGTGTGAGTTCATTAGCGGGGTGGGGAGATAAACGGTGTCCTGCCCTGGCTCACACGAACTTATGAGAGCCGCGCAATTATTCCTCCTCTCGTTTGCTTCACTTTTGGGTGGAAAGCATTGCTTTTTTTATGGGAGTACTCAGTAGCGTGCCTTTAATCACTGGGACTCATTGTGTCATCATTATACTCAATTGCAACGCTGTATCCACCTTAATTATTTTATAACTACCGCAAAGGCAGAAATGCCTGGATAATCTCGTTAACGGAATTAATAGCGAACCAGGAAAAGAGAAAGAAAGAAAGAAAAAAAAACAAAATACTACCAGGGAGCAAGATCGTCCCTGTCCGAAATAACGGATCTTATTAAAAAAGAAAAGAACGTGATAATTGACACAATATGTCAGGGCTGTCGTGGCGCGAGTAGTTGATCGTTTGCATGCCTTACTGGCTCAAAGCTTGTTCCGAACAACCGAAATGCGTATCTGCAACAGCATTATTTGTCCCTCTTACTTCCCCGTGTGCCAGGTGCCCATTCGAGGTTTCCCTAACAGCGAGGGGACCCTGTTAAATTAATCAATTAAACGAACTTACCTGTAAGGAAGTTCAATTGTAATTGTTTGGGAAATTTCCTCACTTTCGAATCTCGTCATGAGATCGAGAGATCGCGAAATCTCCGTGAGCGCTGCGAGTGGATCGGGGGGGGGGGGGGTGAGAAAGGACGTGCAACGTGGCGAGAATGACTACTATTCCGTTTCTTAAAAATGAGTCGACTGTTTAATCTTATGTACACTATATACAATTGATTGTTACTTGGTGTAGAATGTGGGTGAGCGAGTCCGTCGGGCTCTCTTGTTCGCACAAGACCGTCGGGGGTGTGCCGCCCGTTGAGCCGGTGGCCGGCTACAAGCGAGCGTGCACGTACAAAGTGAGGCCTTTGCGCAGAACACCGATGCACTCGATTTGAGCACTTAACTAATGAGTCTTTCCCTGAGTGAGCACTAATTGTCAATGTGAGCTAACCCGTGAGCGCGAGCGCGATACTTTTCGTCAGCCGATGCGAACTTTACCACAGCTTACAACGACGACTTTCTCACGACGACTGGTGCTCTCTGAGCTTGCGCGCAAGCCCGGGAGCCGATTCCACGTGCCCGTCACGCGCTTGTTACACGGTAGCGCGGTCGCGCACGCGGTCCCACCGGGCCTTACGAATCACCGTGAGATGGCGAGGGCAGTACAAATGAGATACCTGGAGGAATCTCAAACAGTAATTGTATGCAGCGCCTCTTCCGAATAGATCAATTCCGTAGTACCTCTACTTCATACCAATGTCGTCACAATCTTTAAAGCTTGAAGGAAAATATTTCCCTAGGCCGCGGGCTATCCCCGCGCTGCTTACCCGCCATGCTTCATTTTTTAGAGTGCCGACGTAGTTTTTCCGGGTTTTGACTTTGTTAAATAAGGGGGATTTAGGGTGGGTGTGATCTATTCGGAAGAGGCGCTGCATACAATTACAATTGAACTTCCTTACAGGTAAGTTCGTTTAATTGATTAATTGTATTTCGCGCCTCTTCCTCTAGATCAATTCCGTAGCTGTTTAAAGCTTATTACGGCGGATTAGTAATTTGGAGAACATCTTTGTTCTGACAAATTGTTGTATATTTCCATGAGTAAATGTGTGAACAAAGCTGAATGATAAAATTGAAAACTTTTTTTATTGGTCCAGAATGGACTTAGCAAAGAGATCTTTACTTGGAATAACGTTGAGTTTATAAAACTTTACGAACGTGTTGGAGTTCTCGGTCCAACCCGCTGCTTTGCGTATGACATTTATGCTGACTTCCTTTCTGCTTGCCGCCGACGTTGACGCGTGACGCGTGCTATGGGCGGTGAATATACTCGTATCGACTCCGCTCTTGTGAAGCGTATCCTTCACCCATTTTCCTAATGTTTGCGACGATACAGATTTATAAGGCTTTTTAAAAGATATGAAGAGGTTGTATGCCTTGTTTCGCAGTTTTTCTGTTCTCTGCATGTAATATTCTAATGTGGATGCTGCGCACACGTTCGGGTTTTCTTTGTAGTAAGGCAGGATCAATGTCGGTTGTGTTCTTCTTGGTCCTGAAGTTTTCATTTGTTTTGTGATTTTTATCTCTATGTGATCCTCTGTTTTCCGAATGTTCCTTGTATCTATTAATGATGGTTTGTATTCTTTGGCCTGTAACTAGTGCTAAGAGGGTGACCATTTTTTTGGATATCTGTTCGAGACTTGTTTCCTCTTCACATGTCCATTTTGAAATATGGTTTAGCACTATTTTTGGGTCCCATGTTACATCGTATTTTGCTGTGGGGGGTCGTATGTTCCCCACGCCCTTGAAAAATCGTTTGATGCTGAGATTTTCGCCTAGTTTTTGGCCTGTTTCTGGCTCATGGAGCAATGCGATTGCCGACCGCGTGCAGTTTAGGGTACCATATGACGCTCCTTCGTTGTACCGTACAGTGAGAAAATTTAATATATCCGAGGCTGAGCCGTTTAATGGGTCGAGCGATTTCTCTCTGCAGAATGTCCACCATTTCCTCAGTGCGCTGTTGTATTGCTTGATTGATCCTTCCCTCAGAGACTTTAGCATGATTTCTATTGTCATCTTCAGAGTTCCTTTTTGTTCAAACGCCCTCCTGATAGCTTCGCGGCAACCAGGATAATTCGCTTCCAGAGGGGGTGAGTCTGCCTGTTTGAAGAACGCAACAAGTTAATATTAGGCTCGAATCGTATTGGCTTAGATTCGCACATGGACATGAATAGGGGGAACCAGAGTTGTGCCGGCCAGAGTGGCACGACTACTATGCCCTTGGCTCCTTCCTTTCAAATCTTTTGTAGGACTCTTAGTATGATTGTGTAACGTTACGCTCAACCTTCCCGGTTTCGGATTCCGGACCGGACTCCGGCGGATTTATTTATCACGCGGATAAATAAGATACTCGATCAGACGCGCGGTTCTGATCGACGGTTGGAAGGGTGAGCGTTCCGGTTTCGGTGTTTGACGTGCTGTGTGTCGGTTCGAGTGAATCCTCCGTTCCTCCTGTTGCCGAATATGCTCAGCTCCAGGGCCGTCGGGAGGAAGGGAGGCAAAGTAGATCTTAATTCGCAAATAGAGTCAATCGCTTGGAAGGGATCGGAAATAAGTCGTACAGGTTTTTTCGGTATAACAATAGGAAAGGTTCATTCAACGGATATAATACATAGGATCGAGGATATTATAATGGGTCCGCCCTGTGATTAAATACAGAAAGAAAGAAGACGGATTAATAGGTACAATGGGTACGCCCTGTGTCAAAATATAAGGAAAAGGAAGTGTAATTAGACGGATTAAATTACGGTACAGGAGTACGCGACGGGAATTGAGATACCGGGATACAAAGTATAATTGGCCGGATTGATAACAGAGTACAGGAGTGGCGGCCGGATCGGAGTACGGAATACAGAATGATACGGCTGGTCGGATTTAATCGGAAGTAAACGAAACTGACGCTGGGTCACAAAATATAGGAAAGTAATACAGGATACGCTTTATGCGCAAACGGATCGGAATATAATTCGAGGCTAATACTAAACGCTGGTAATGCTGGAACAATCGGAAGGGACGTTAATTACGGGATCCTCAGGTATTCTGGAAGGAAGAAAAATGACGGTATTAACGCCACGGAACTTACGGCTAGATAATCTTTCTCCCTCCCGAAATATTACCCCCCAGAGCTTTACACCGGTCGGGGGTCAGGAAAAAAGGATCGGAACAGGTCAGGAACACGCCCGAGCAGCGCCTCGTTATGCGTGTTTTTTCAGTAGCATATGTACACCGGGCAGCACCCCGTTTCTGTGTACGCTACTGCGGACGGATAGGAGACCGGTACGGGATCAGTAGCTTGCGTACAACGGGCAGCACCCCGTTCTTGTACACTACTGCGGAGGGGGCCGGGGCACACGTGTGGGACAACCAATGGGAACGGGCCCACACGCTTGCGTGTGTGGAGAAAGAACACTCACGGTTGACCAGGAAGAGAACTTTATTTTCAGAGCTTGATAACGAGCTACTCTCTCTACGACGTCTCTTACAAGAATGATGATCACCAACCACATGTCGGTAACTACCTAGCTTTCGCTGACTAATGTCCCCAGACTCGGGCTAGGGAAATATGGTGGTGATAATCCCCACATACTCCCCCCCTAGTGTCAACGAATTTTAACTGCGGTT